AGTGATTAATGATAACCTGACCTTAACGAAATAAGGCAATATCATAAGTTGAAAATGAGATTACGTTGGATTCGAATAAAGAAGATAGCATGCAAAACTTGCATTTGCTCCGTATAGTTTGTAGTCCACACCAACTGATACACTTGTCAGCGACACAGCGATGAAACCAACCAAGATACCGATGATGACAACGCCCGTCAGTGTCCAAACAATAGCCACGATCCTGCCGACGTTTGAAAAGGGAGTGCGGTCTCCATACCTAGTAAGGTTTCGACAAAAGGTTACCTTTTATTTTAGCTTCGTAACTTAAATAAGCTCAAAAATGTTTTGCAAGACAATAAAAGCAATTTTCGCAGTAATGAACACTACTTAAGCAGTCACTGCTTAAGTAGTGTAAATATGCTTAAGTATGCCTTATTTTCATTGAGTGAAAATAAGACCTGAAAAAAAATCATGGGATTTGAACGTGTGACCACTGCGATACCGGTGCAGCGCTTAACCAACTGAGCTAACAAGCCAATTGGAAGCTGGTTACTATGTTTGTTTTAAATAAATTTAAATAGATTTTTTTTAAAATCACTGTCATTTTAAAGATCGTAAGAGGATCTTTAAATAATCAATCCTATTCAGGAATTTTTCTCATGTGCCGAGTATATAATGCGGCGTCTATGCTGCTCGTTCTGCGCCAAATTATCCAATCAACACGGAAGGTAAATGAAACATTATTCCTGGGCAAACAGAAACCTTCAGGGGGACTTTTTTTTTTTTTTTTAAATGAAAGGCCTTTATGGGCCGGCAAATGAGTCTTTTAACTGTCTCTACTCCCTCCCATCAACTTGATAGTGGTTTACACCTTCTTTAATTTTCGACATGAAAATGTATTAGTTCATACACCACATACCCTACAGTTGTCATGGAAACGTAGGCCCACCAAAATCCTTCCCAAATTCCGGAAAAAAACGATCGAGGAAAATGTTCGGCATTCTGTGCTTGATCCTAAAATTGAAGCAGAATTTATGGAAAAGCTCAAAAAAAATTTCTTACTTTGTATTTTCTTTTCATTTTGCATCATATGGCTCTTGCTAATAAAAGCTGTTAGAGAAAGCTGCATTAATTGTTTTAATAGAAGTATAGTATTCTTGTTTCGGAAGAAACGTTTTGGGATTGGTACTCCAAAACTCCGCTCAAAGTCAAAAATACCCCGCGCAGCGGAGCAGAGATATCTGTATACATGAAACTGTGTAATAATATTAAGATAGAGAATTAAACTAAAAACCAGACGGAGAAATTATTCTTGTTGAGGTTTATGCTAATGTAAATCGAAGTAATTTCCAAAACAGTTTCACTTTTCTAGTTTCCTTTGCGTGACGAATTAATGCGGAGAGACACGATCATGTCTTAACCATGCCTAAAATTTTCAAAACTCTGATGCTTTGAAGAAGTGATCGAAAATAAGAAAATCAACAGAACGCACTACAACTGGGTGTCGTAAAACATAAACGTAAGTACAGCAATTGCCACAGCTGATCAGAAAAAGGTCAACACTACAACGAACCAATAAGGGTTTTAAGTAAACATATAAAGCGCCCTCGAGCGCGGGGATAAAAGCTAACAACGAAAGCGCGATCGATGCAATCCAGACTACTTTCAGCAATTAACTAGAAATCGGTGCGTTACCTACCACGGCCCACATTATAAATCCAAAGATATAAGCCAGCAAGATCCCCATTAAAGCCAGCGGCCAGCATGCAAAAACAGCATGCACCAAGGATGTAGGTGTCTCGTTGCCATAATTGGTGTTTATTACGTAAGCAATCCCAGGGGATTCCACTATCCCTGTGTAGCCAAACTCATGCCTGAATTTGTCTTGTAACTTGTATCCGTACACTGGGAAAGTCAAGTCAGTTGCATGGAGTATGTTCAATCTCAGCGCTTCCTCTGTGTGTTGCAAAGCAGGTTCCCCTTTTCCATTGAATTCGAAGTCGACGTAAGACTCTCCGTGAGTCTTGCACGTCTGGCAGCATGTGACTGCCATGTCCTCTACGAAGGGAGACAGAAGGCCCCCTGGCCCTTGCGTGGCTGAGTGTGACTGGGTAACGTAAGGATCGAGTACCATCCAGTTCGTTGTTAGACGCTTTAAGCATCGGCAAGTTTCTGAGAAAACAGACGCTTTAATATGTTGTACATGTAGCTATCTTCAGCATTCTTCTAATAAAAATATACGTTGTGGTATCAATTTCTCATTGGGAGTCGCTACAAATAGAAATTACGCGTTATTTTTTTAGCTTATCGTTTAAGGTTAAATCTTACGAGCGAAGTGGCCCATTCCTTCTGTAGCATGAATTTAACCTGTTTCCATCATATAAAATTCTTATCAACCTATTTTAAATAGCATAGTACGATTAGAAATACAGTTTTATTAGCATAAGGCTATTATTATTAACCTAGTTTCCTTCATGATACCTTTCCTCATTGATACCAGTTCCTCTCTAGTTTCCTCCTCCCCCCCTAGTATTCCATCAGGTTTGCCTGATAGTTTTTACATTTCTGGTTTAAGAGAGAAAACTGTGAAAGTGAAGTATCTTGGTCGGGAAGACAACACATGGACTAGCCTGGCCTCGAGCAAGGACCAATCGATCCAGAGCTCAGCGCACTGAGCATCCGGCCTCTTGGTCGCTGTTCACCTGGAGCATAATGCACTTTGTCTCTTAGTAGTTCCTGAGCATAAGACAAACTTGTCTCTCCTCCCACCCTAAGCATTAACCCACCTTGCCTCTTCCCCTTGAGCATTAGACTTCCTTGTCTCTCCTTCCCTTCAGGCCACCTTGTCTCACCCCCCTGAGCATTAGACTATCTTGGATCTCCCCCCCCCTCTGAGTATTAGACTATCTTGTCTCTGCCCCTCCCCTGAGCACTAGAGAATTACTCCCCAACACCTCCTTTTCATAGTGTTCTTATAATCACGATTTCTTCACCACTTATGAAATTAAGTTAAATCCTAATATTAGAACAGTTTTCCTGAAGCCTCATTTACTATGTCAAAAGCATCGAAAACCACTTTCTCATTCGTTCGACTTAAGTCTGTTTACCTGCAAAAAGGACTTCACGGGGCCCATCACCTTTGACTGTAAGTCCGGTCAATTCGATACGATAAACAGTAAAGCTCTCCAACCCTGTGAGCTCGGTGGATACAGTTCCTGCGGGTAGAATAACTTCCCTAGGAGCTTCTTTGTAAGGGTACTCTCCCATCTCTACGGCCTCGTAACGTATCCTGTAGCCGGTGAGAATTCCGTTGAGTAAGTGATTTGGGATGTGTGTCCAACTGAGTGGGATTGTATGAGTGGTCCATGTGCTGACAGCTCTTACGTTAAGCGGTTTAGCATCAGGAACTAAAAATCAGAAAAGAGACAAATCTTGCTGTGTGCATATCTTAAAAATGTTGATATTTATTGCCAAATATATTAAACTTTTATAAAACCTAAACGCTTACTCCATCTGAAGATCAACATGTATTTTTATCTTCTATGAAACAGGAGCTTGCTGTGTATTTCATTTTGTTCACATCACTACGTGAGTAACCACTGCTTTGTTCCCACAGTTGATTTTTTTTGATAAAATCGTCTTAGTATCAATGATGCAGAACAGAGACTTCTCTTATTGTCGATTTCACGACAAAGAAACACATTAGCTTGGTGTAAAATTGACTCAGAATCCTTCAAACTGAAATCAGCTTTGCTTCGGGCATTATTAAGTTTTCTCGTTTATCATACAGCCATCGAGGGAGATAAAACTATCCTAAAAGTATCCAATGAAATTCGTGGGTAATCGCATAACCGCCTTCAAACGCGGGTAATCACAAGTTACCAAGTTGCTGATGGTTTTTATTGTGGCTACTGAGAGTGATGCGAGTTTTGTTGTATCGACCGATAAAATAGCGTATCAGGGGATAACTAAGCAAAAAGTGATCTTCGTCATGTACATCACTGAAAAGAAATATACGTCATTTACATCATTGAAAAGAAATTTGTCTCACAACTTAATACCGACATGATTATCACAAGACATACCATCTTGATCTGTCATCATAATTGTGCTAGTTGTAACACCATCCCCTTTACTTGTGTAAGCCAAAACGGTTACGTTATACTGCGTGAACTTCTTTAGTCCCGTGATGCTTAGCGAGCGTTCAAATGGTGGTATGTTTTCCGTCCCAGTTGAAGCGTTTTGTTGTAGTTCTGTGTAATGAACTTTGTATCCTCTGATTATTCCATTTTTGTAACCATTGGGCACCTCATTCCAACTTACATGGATGGATGTTGAATGTGGGGTCCAGACCACCACGTTCACTGGTGGCCGGTCAGGTGCTGTATTTGAAAAGATTAGGGACAAAAAAAAGAAGATGAAAAGGAAAAAAACTTGATCAATACGCGACTACCCCATTTGCAAACGTCGAAAAATAAATTGGCAGATTTCTCGGTTCAAAGAAGATGTCATCGCTTGATTCTAAATCCCCAAAGAGATCAAGATGATGAATATCTTCATAGATGTACGATTAGTTTATACTCGCACGTAAAAACGCAAAATTACACAGCAACCAAAGAGATATTTCCCACGTTACCTAAGCAGAGGGGTAGAGCTAATCAATACATTAAATGGGGGAGCGAAAAATCAACGTGCCAGTTCTCTGAGGATGATGATTTCAATAATTTAAATTTAAACAAGCTAGTCATAGGTTTGGGCAACCTCATTTCGACGTGGCTGTCTACATAAGGCTGTATTGAGGTGGTTTCTCTGTCCCCACACGCGTGAATACCACGGTACATCACAACTAGAGAACTTAAAACTTATCACCTATCTTTAACCACGCCGAGCGATCTGGAAATTGCTCACCCCAAAGTATAAACTCGCCTCGCAAGGAGTTCCTCGCAAAAGCTCAGTTGTTCATTGTCTCGCTGATGTTCCGGAAAGTCAAGGGGAAAAGGCTTTTTTTAAGAAGCAGGGTTTTTCTTTACCTCATGCTATCCTCAAATACATTAGAATGCTTCTTTGTCTAAAAAAAAGTCTCAGTGAGTCATACAAAACTATATTTACTTACTGTCCTCGTCTGTTGAAACGTTAACTGTCGTGCTGCTTACTCCATCTTTGTTCGTTCTTGCCACCACGTACACAGAGTAGTTGGTAAACTTGTACAGATCAACTAACTCCACTTGTAAAGTGTTGCAGTCTACTGTCACATTTCTTAGAGATCGTGTAAAGTAGGTTTCTTTTTCAATGTAATACACACGGTAAGTCCTCAAAATGCCTCTCAGACCCTGCGTGCTTATTGGCTGCCATGTGACATGAAGACTTGTCGAGCTTGTGTTGAACGCAGTGACGTTTGATGGAGCAACACGCGGAGCTGCAATAGCAAAATGAATGAATCACACTGATCAAGCTCCTCTAGCTTGTTTTTGCTTTGAAACATGAATTAAAATTTTTGTCACCAATCGTCAACGAGTTTTCTGAGTCCAGTTGTCAAAGTAATCGACGGCGAAACTTTAACGGTTGAGGTTAAAAACACCTTAACATCAGTATGCATATTCTCGATACTGAGATATTTATTTTCTATTCAGTTATTAAGGTCCTGAAAAGGAGAATTTTTTAACAATCAAGAGTTTCTTTTATTACTGCTCATTTCCTCCATTCTCGTTACCTTAATGTGTGATTCAGGGGTGGTATTATGTAGAGAAATTAGATGCTAGTCATCCTCAACGTTTAAAGGTTAAAAGAAATTCACATTTGTTCAAGCCACTCGCTCATGCCATGCAGATGATTGATATGAGCAGAGATAATGACATCGACGAGAATCAGTTAATTGATCGATCAATCCATCAATCCAACAGCCAGTCAGACAAACAAAATAGAACCATGTGTGTCAATATATTCCTGTAAAAAACAAAGAAGAAAATTTCGTTTGTTGTCTACCTTCTTCGTCAGTTATTCCGCGTGTTACGTTACTCCAGGGACCATTTCCTTTGACGTTGAACGCGAGAACCTGGACGCTATAATTTGTCCAGATGTCCAGTCCTCCCACGGTCGTCGTCAGCATATCAGAACCATAAACACTGACATTTTTGATAAATTCACCGGTGATGTTACTTATGGAGACCCAGTAACCCAATATGTAACCATTTCTCTCTTCTTTGGCGACTGGAGGCCACTTAACTGTTATCGCTGTCGTGTTAGCAGGAAGAGTTGACAGGTTGATTGGTGCACCCTCTGGGACTAAAATGAAAAGAGCAAACGATTCTGACTCAGCTTTCTATTGGTCAGAAATGGCTATGTAGACCGCCTGTCTGGGTCATTCCTCAGGAGTGAAGGACTTGCTTTTTTTGCCCTTCCCTTGGTGTAAGACCACTCAATTTTCACGTTATTGCGTGTTCGACAGAGAACACCGTGGTTCAATGAAATTTTCAATCGTGTTAGCATAAAAAACACGACAAAGGAATACTCTACCACGCGTTTCGCGATTGTGCGCGGAAAATTATTTTTTATTCGTTTCTCAAGGAAAGGAAGGATTGAGAAAAAAGGAGGAATAGAAAGACTTTTCTCTTGTACAATCTCTCCCTCTACTCGTTTTCCTTCTCGTATACATGAAAAGAGTGATGCTTGCTACATTAGTCCCAACCTCCTCCATATCAAAGCACTTTTAAATCGAGTGTCGAAAAACTATAACCATAAAGTAATCACCTCTACCGATCAGAACAAAGGTTAACATCATGATCAACCAATGAGAACTCAAACTGATAACCTGCTTAAAGCGCGGGAAAACGCGAGTGACCAAGCTTGGATTGGTTCAAGAGCGAAGTAAATCAAAACCAAAGAAACCTTGGATCGCTTTCGATACTCATTTGAAAAACTTCTCTACGTTAGGAACAAAGTAAACTTACCGTCCTCGTCTGTCATGCAGAACACAGGATTTGAGATGTTTCCTTTCCCAGCGACTGTAAACGCTAAGACTCGGATCTCATAATTCGTGAAGAAATCTAAATTCGTTATTGCTACTTCAAAAAGACTTGCACACACTGTCATATTTTGGAATTTTTCAAAAGGTTTGTCTGCCTTTCTGTAAAGTACACTATATCCCAGAAGTATGCCATTCACGTGATCATCAGGAACAGGAAACCACGTGACGTTGATGCTTGTGGAACTGGTGTTGAAGGCAGTCACATTCATCGGCGACCTACTGGGAGCTAAATACAATGTGAAGTTTTCCTTTTAGTCGACCTTGACATATCAAATATAACAGAGAATAGAGAGATATAAACTTTAAGAAAACTTACTGCATAAGGAAAGATTTCCTATTAAACAAGACAGTTGTTTCCTCAATGCTACTCCGTCATAGTTTTTTTCCACAAGATCAAACTTTATTACTCACTCCGAACTAGACTAAAAGCCGACCAGGTTGCCAAACGGTATTGAAAATGGCAGTGTCTATGGTCGACGTTTCAGTTCATTTGAGAGCAATTTTCTAGCGGTTAATTTACTCTTCGGAGTCACAAAACCCAGCCGGTGTTACGATTTCATAGCGACTTTTTAACGGCGTTGAGGCAAACTATCTGGTAACAGAAGCACGCCGAAATACCTGCTAGGAATGCGGAAAGACTTTCCCGGAAAAAAAATTAAACGAGGTAGTTATGGGTAAAATTTGGCTCCTTAACTGTCATGCAAGGCTTTTGGAGTCGACAACGCTTCCATTGGCTGGAAGTTACTAGGAGTGTAGTTACCCATTCCAAACTGGAAGCTATTTCATCGCTGGTTAATCCATAGCATTCCGTGAGGTTTCCCTAGAATTTTTCTGGTGCTTATTCTCTCTCCGGAATGGAGAGAGGATCTTTGAGAATAACAAGTCTTGCCTGAGAACAGAACACAATGATCCGAGTTGGACTCAAACCTTGACCGTGTTATTCAGAAGTTAGCACGATAATCATAAGATTATGCTTGTCTTATCATTTCTTTAAATACGTTTTTCTGAGGAGCCTGATGCGTTGCTTTAACCGTGAGATCTGCAAATGGTTAGACATTCTATTCATCCCGGATAAGGACGATAAACCGTTACGCCCAGTCTCCTGCAACTTCTCTGCTCTAGCTAATCGGGGACATTAAAGAACCCACGCACTTTTGGCAAAGAGTGTGGTGGAGTCCGGCCCTATTATTGATTTTACAGGCCCCCATTTAAGCCTGCTTTAGAGCTGTATTAGGCCAGCCTGTCTAAATATCGCAAAATAAGCAATGAATAACAAAGGTCTTACCATCTTGTGCTGTGGTGAGGTTCATTTCATCGCTTGGGACTCCATAGTCGACAGTATATGCCATGACCTGTATTGTGTAAGTCGTGTATTTTTTTAATCCACTCAGCTCGAAGCTCTGCGAGGAAGGATTACTGATATCTCGTCTTTTTCGACTATTAGTGACAGGTATGGAGATGTTTTGACGCGTGACGTACGGAGAATCCGTGACAAAGTAGGTAATGACGTAGGCACGCAGAACGCCGTTAATGTGCAAAGGATCAACTGGTTTCCAATCTAAAGTCAGCGACGTGGAACTAGGAACCACGCCCGTGACGTTCGAAGGCGGCTCACTTGGGGCTGAAAGACGATAGGAAAGTTACTTTTGCTACGCCATTAAACACGAGATGCAAGCATTCGTAATTCCATTTAATGCTATCAGCTTTTAGGCTAATATTTCACTTTCTGGGGTGGGTCCAAAGGGTGAATTCAGAGGTGTGGATCTCCCTCCCCCTTCCCCTCCTCTAGTCTTCCTCCAGTGAAATCAGGGGGTTTATTTCACCCCATTTAGTTGACACCTGACAACAAAATCGCAGAGTACTACTCAACGACTTGTGACGAGTGACCACGACTGAAAAGGGGAGGGGGAGGGGTAGAGGGAGAACGTGAGTTGAACGTTTTTTCCCACTTTATTTTACGTTAGTGTTATTTTAGGCTCTTTGTAATTTTTATTCGTCTGATTTTTTGTTCGAATTACGTTGGTTGTAGTTCCATGGCACTCAATCGAAAATGCTAAACCCATTCTCTCGCAAAATCGAAACGCAACTTCTCCGTTTCCTCTCTGCCATATTTTCTTGCATTTTTTAGCTTTGAGAAGTTGAAGATAGATCAAATAAACTCCCTTATATGGTATTTTACTTTCCTTTTATCACTTTTCAAAAAACCAATCGATATCTTAAGGGAGAAATTTACTTTAGGTCACCACCAGGGGTGGGAAGGGGTTACACACGTCTACATACCAGCCTCCTTGGTCCTGACCACAATGGCGTCGCTACCGTTACCCAGTCCCTTGCTGTTGAAAGGTACTATACGTGCCTCATACTCAGTGTAAGGGAAAAGGTTTGCAATATTCGCCTGATCAAGAGAATGCACGGTTATATTCTTAGTTATGTTTCTCAGTCTGTCAAACAGTAGAATGTGATATCCCAAAATCAGTCCGTTTGCCTTGTCATTAGTTAGCGGTTTCCAGGACAGTGTCAGGCTTGTAGCAGATGAAGCCGCTGGTGTTATGTTTTGCGGGCTTCCCTCGGGAACTGAAATGAATTTAAGGAAGATCAAGATTATTAACGCTTACATTTTACAGAATATTTCATGATCAGGAATTAATTTTTTCCTTTTAATTACAAACATTCTATTTAATTTGGACAAAGTTTAAAACGGTGGGTTCCATTAGGAATAGGTTCTTTTCCCTTTTTTGTTGATAATAAAAAAACCAATACTCCAAATATGGAATTCGATGTTCAACCCTTAGTCTTATAGACTTCATGACAACATTCCATGTCACGTTGATAATTTCATTAATGTGACTTTATATCCAATATTTTTGTGAGTTTATCATGTCGAGCACCTCAAAGCATTATTTCTTCATTCCAACACAAATAACATGGTGAGATACCTCTCACTCTACTTTTCGGAAATTCTTGGACGAAATCTATGGCTTTTCATGCGAACAAAAATCTGTTTTTTGCGAAGTTCGCACAAGGGTTAGCCTCGATATGATGTTCCGACGAAATCAACGCAACGACAGACAGCGTAGATATTAGCTTTGTTGAAGTAATGAAGTTCGAAATTACGGGGAGAGGAGTTTATTCTCGTGTGGATTATTTGCAGACTTCCGCCAATAGTCTGGGGATACAGACCTTCGTTTCCATCCGAGACCGAAAACAATTTTAAAGTAATTGACACATCGTAGGGAATCTCATGAATACGTCTTCAAAATCCCTCATTTTCTTCTAGTTATACTCACTGTCTTCTTCGGTAAAAACAGTTATCTTGTCATTGGATTTTATAAATCCTTTCCTGGTCACACCAGCTGCACTGATGCGGTACGCTGTGTACTCCTGCAGGTCGGTCTGATGGTGAGTTATCTTGGTAGCGTTTTCACAATTTCCTAATATGGCGGTAATCGTCTCCTTCTCGCTTGAGTTGTCAGCGGTTGACATGATCAATTCAAATGCTATTATCGGCTCATATGAATCATTATAGGAGACTGGGTATAACGTGACCAGAATACTTGTGGAGCTTGTGTTGTGGGCTGTGAGGCTCGTTAAAGGCTGGTGCGGAACTAAATTACAGCAGAAAGGAGGTAAGTTTCTAACTAGACTGTACTGCTGCGTCGGAAGGAGTTATTACAAGATGAGGCGATAACATGCCCCGACCAATACCGTAGTTCCGTAGTTTAGACAAATTAAAAGTGGTATGAAATTCAAGCCTTACCGCCCCGCTCTGTGATGGCTTGCACTGAGGCAACAGGCCCTCCTCCTTTCACTGTCAAACCTCTGACGTTTATGCGATAGGGAGTGTTCATTTCAAGATTTGTTGCCTCACACCAGTACACATTACAAAATTTCATCCTCTTCCAAACAGGCGGCTCAACCATCTTCCTGTACCAAGCCTTGTAACCGGTGATGATGCCGTTTCTTCCTTCTGCGGGAATAGGGTCCCAACGGACAAAGATGCTGCTTAAATTAACAGCTTGCGCGATTACATTGGACGGAGGAAGACTTGGAACTAGCGAGGAAAACACGAAAAGCCAAATACTATTTCTTATTATATCACTGGCAACGCCCGTAGGCAATATGAAGCGAATCCTATGTTCTGATTGGCTACCTGAGCGGGCAAGATGGGCCCTTCTTGCCCGCTCGGCTTACCTGCTTTGATCCCGCACAAAAAAAAAAAAATACGTGAAGCGCATAATTTTCAAAAGAAGTGCGTGTAAACTCGTTCACCTGGTTTCTTTAGCTTTTAAAGACAATTCTTTAATTAGGTTAAAACTCCTTTTTATTGAAAACATATGCTATATTTAAATATAGTAGAGGAGACCCTTTTTGCCTATCCAGGCGTGTACACAGAACCTCCCCTCCCCCCTCTGACCATGTTGGTAAGACTAAAAGGTCGTCATGTCTCGGTGAAGTTTACAAAGCGCACAAAATTCAAAATCTTTTGGAGGGGAGGGGTGGGGGAGGGGAATGATTCGATTTTATGAATATCGTCCTTCAATTTTCCTTTTAACATCCATCCTAAGAAAAACTTAGGCTGACTCGAGAATAAAATTTTTTTGAAAGATGTTTATTCATCATTTTCATGTGATATCGTGTGACACCTACGGTTTAAGAGGAAACTTCAGTTATTTATATTTCCCGTAAGACTTTCGGCATTTAAAAAATGAAGGTAAATTCATGTCCCGTTATCATAAAAGCCTAACGTGTGAATAAAGGTACACTCATGCGAAAGGTGTTAGTTTTTACAAACATAAGCAAGTGCAAGACATAAAGTACTCTTTTCACCAAGCTAATAAACTTGATTTACGTGCCGTTTCAATTTCTATCTTATGTTGCCCTACTTTTTTCTTTTTACAAATCTAACTGAGATAAAAAAGATAATTTTCTATGTATGTTAGGTGTGTCAATTTACTTTTTCGTGGCGCAAAATCGTCAAAATTTAGTGGCCTAATCTTGTTCACGAAAAATTTCACCTACCATCCTCATCTGTCATGGCATAAACTGGGTCGCTGACTGAGCCTAACTTGCCAGTCCGTGTAAAACCAAGAATACGGATACTGTAGTTGGTAAAAATCTGAAGGTTTCCTAGAATCGTTTGATTCATGAACCCACATTGAACAACACTCTTCATGGAGCTGTTTCCATCGTTTACCACATGGAAGACGAC